TCTTTTTTTACCTTCGCCAAGAAGGTTATGTTTTTCAGTAGCGTTTGTCTGTGTGTGTGTGTGTTTGTGTGTGTGGTTTAGCAAGATAACTCAAGAAGCAGTGGATGGATTGGAATGAAACTTGGTAGGTGGGTAGGTCTTCATGAGACCTAGAAATGATTAGATTTTGGGCCCCCTGGCGGCTTTCCTAGGTACTGCAGCTGAACTTCCGGTTTTGATATCTCGTGATCTGGACATGCTAGGGTCACGAATTTTGGATGGCAAATAGCTCTTGTGATAGAGAAGAAGTGACATGAGTTTGGTTCCCCTAGCGCCTTGTCCTGGAACTGCAGGAGCATTTGTTGAAAAAAATTCGAAGGACGATAACTCAAGAACTGGTTGACGTATTGTCGTGATTTTTGGTATGTAGGTAGTTGAAGTGATGCTTGACATAATCAGATGGCAATTATGCAAATCAGGACTTAATTTGCATAATTAATGAGGAAATTCTATAAATCTGCTTTGTTCAATAATAGAACTATGAAACACTTGTGACATCTACTTGAGAACGAGAAAACATCTGAGGATATAGATTATGTAAATGAGGACCTAATTTGCATAATTAATGGCAAATTCTTGTAATTCCATAGTTGTAACTGCTGCACCCCGAATTTCATACTTGCCATATTTGGAAGTTAAGTGAAGGTGAACATCAATAAACATAATTTATTCAAATCATGACCCCATTTGCATAATTTATGAGGAAGTGCTATAATAGCCTTTTTGTTGTGATAAGGCCGTCATTGGATGGAGAATATGATCAACTGATATAATCCATGCAAATGAGGCTCTTATTTACAAAATCAATGATTACAATTGTATAATTCGTCACCCGCAAGGGTTAACATCATTTGGCGAAGGTATGAGATCGTGGAACTCTTGTTTTAAAGTGCGACATGGGATACAAGGGCGAGTGCGGTTTACAGCCGTCAGGTTCCATCGTAAATAAAAGAACCCTTTAGTCATTCACCGAAGTGACTGTCATATATTTTCCCTGTTGCCGCGTGACTATGTTGCTGCTGCTGCTATAAATGACTTGCTTTAAAATTGACCCATATTTAACCGATTGAGATTGTATGGCCACCTCCAAAAAATGGGGTCGTGTGGTGTAGCGGCAGAGTGCGCGACTCGGAACCTTGAGGTCCCGGGTTCGAGTCCTGACATGCCACCGATCTTGTGTCCGTGGGAAAGGCGCTTTACACGAAAGGCGCTTTGTCCCGTCATGTATTTGTCCCCTGTGTTGGTGGCGGCATTAATATATGTCGAAAAAACTTGACTGTGCCGTCACCACATCTGGTGATTACATGTTGGAATAAAAAAAAAAGAATGGACATTGAAACGTGGCCTAGATAGATCATGACAATGGATGTGAGTGATATAAATGATAAATGTATGCTAAGAAGTCTCATTCACACAATCATACATCTGTTTCTTACATCTCTAGAGAAACACGTTTCAACTGGTGCTGATCACGGATGGCTGCAAGTCCTTCACCCTGTTTAACTACGACCGGATCGAATTCTTACAAGGGAGAACCAACGACGGAGATGGAACTACCGGTACTGGACCGAACCCTGCACAGGTATTTGTTTATTGTTTGTTTGTTTGTTTGTTTGTTTATTGGTATGCACACAAGTGTTGCAAGTACATGTAATTGATAGAGCATATTTTGAGGCTGAATGGGATACTTGGATATAGAACTGCCCACTGCACGAAAACTTAGATTTACCAATACCAGTATAGTTCGGTAATGTTTACTTTGTTTTTTAAATAAACACTTCTGAACTTTACAATGGCAGTAAATAAAGGTCAAGTACGGCAATACCGGACTTAACAAGGGTTGTAAAGTAAATTACTGCACTTGATCGTTATTTACTACTATTGTAAAGATACTGTGTACATAGTAAACATTACCTGAATTTACAACCTTTGGTAAATCCAACTTTTCGTGCAGTGGCCCCGCCCACCGACAGTTATATACCCAAGTATTCAGCCTCACACCGTGCTCTATCTAACTTAGGGCACTTCTAGGTTCCCGAATGATGATCAGCTTATTTATTCATTATAGTTTTATTTAGACCTACAATTAGCCTCATAAGAGGCTGTTCTCCTGTGGTCTACACATTGAAGAGAAACGAACAAAGACATACAAAGTTAACAGTACGGAGCAAAAATAACATGATTCCTTAAATACACTAATTACAGTCCAATACTTTGCTAGTTGTTACCAATTGAGACATTCTGCGCCTTTTTTGTGAGTTGGAGTTTGGTTTCAGTAGTCGGACATATTCTCTTGTTAATAGGTTGGGATCAACGGAGGAAATGGGATCCACTACTCCCTTCACCCGTACTCCAGGACCACTAATCTGTACAACCTGCCCGGATGGGTTGATCCGGGTCCGGAGACACCGGGACCTGCCGGGCGTTGGTACCAGAGGACTGACCTGGCTCTGGTCGGAGACGGCCCAGAATTAGGTACGATATCTCCTGCCTTGTTGGAGTGTGTGTGTGTATGTCTCTCTCTCTCTCTCTCTCTCTCTCTCTCTCTCTGTGTGTGTGTGTGTCTGTGTGTATTTGCGTGTGTGACAAAGTGACAACAAAATAGCCCAAATTAAATTATCACCATGATTTGAAAGGATTCTTAGTGTTCTGTTTCTAACAAACCTTTTTTTTTCCTCATCGACATTGTAGCCTGCCCCTCCTCGGAGTGGCGTTTGCGTGGAGACACCTGCCTCAAGCTGTACCACAAGCCCCAGGATTATCCCACTGCAAAATCGACATGTGAGGGAATGGGGGCGACAATCTGGAACATCCGCAGCCAGGAGGACAACGAGTTTCTGGCCGGAAAACTCTCTAAGTACCTCCGGTAAGGAGACATCCTTTTTACCTTTACCTTTACCTGGTCCCATTCTCATGTCTGAGGGTCGGGGACTATCGTGGTGGCATCCAGTATCAGCCTCCTCCACTCTCTCCTGTCTCTGGCCCTGTGAGAGCACACAGCCAGTGGCATGCCCATCCAGTCAAGGACATTGTCGCCCCACCTCCGGCGTGGTCTTCCACGGCTCCTCCTCCCGTTGATCACCTCTTGCAGTATGTGGGTGGTGATGTTCCCTGCTCGTGTGGCATGACCAAAGTACTGGAGTTTCCGCCTTTTTATGGTGTTAAAAAGTGTTCTTTCAACTTCAGCTGTTCTAACACAGAGTCATTTGTGCGGTGGTCTGTCCAGCTGATGCGCAGAATCTTCCTGCCGATTATGCTAAGTCAAGTTTATTGCATAACAATCGTAGCAGGTACAATAATACGATTACTAGTTGGTATGGGTCTACCAAAATTCTACAGGTTCTATGAGTTCGCCTGGTTGGTCGCCTGGTTTGCTTTTTATATATGGTCCGTTTTTTGTGCCTTCTACCACCACCAACGTTGGTGGTGGTAGCTGAGACAAAAAAAACTTATTTAAATTTTTAAATTTAAATTTCTTATTTTGAATAGCAAAGTTATTTCTATCACAACCATTTATTTTCAAGCCAACGTTTCGATGACCTTCTGTCATCTTCATCAGGGCAATACTTCATCAGGGCAATACTGACCGGATGTAACAATACCTAGTATGTATGTCACAGTTACACTACGTTCCGGAACGCATTGTAAACAGACAAAACTAGCTCAAGTGCACTATGAACTAGGTAACAACTTTAGTGCACTATGCACCAAGCAACATCTAGTGTCAGTGCACAGTAAACCAGTCAGTATTGCCCTGATGAAGATGACAGAAGGTCATCAAAACGTTGGCTTGAAAATAAATGGTTGTGATAGAAAGAACTTTGCTTTTCAGTCGTTTACCAACCTGATGAAATTATTTACGGGGGCATTTCTTCTTTTGTTATCATTGATCACAGCCGTACTTACACTGGACGCGGTGTGTGGATTGGCCTGACGGACGAAGGAACCGAAGGCACGTTTGTGTGGGACGACGGCACCCCGTATGACTCAAGTGGCTACTCCAACTGGGCTTCGGGCGCTATGGCCTATAACGACGGGTGAGGAAACGACACACAAACTTATAGAATGACTGAATGAATGAATGAATGAATGAATGAATGAATGAATGAATGAATGAATGAATGAATGAATGAATGAATGAATGAATGAATGAATGAATGACCAAAGTGGCTACTCCAACTGAGCTGAGGGCGCTATGGATTTTAACGACGGTGAGGAAACGACAACACGAAACTTTTATGAATGAATGAATGAATGAATGAATGAATGAATGAATGAATGAATGAATGAATGAATGAATGAATGAATGAATGAATGAATGAATGAATGAATGAATGAATGAATGAATGAATGAATGAATGAATGAATGAATGAAGATGAATGACACAACCGGCTACTCCAACTGGGCTTCGGGCGCTATGACCTATAACGACGGGTGAGGAAACGACACACAAACTTTATGAATGAATGAATGAATGAATGAATGAATGAATGAATGAATGAATGAATGAATGAATGAATGAATGAATGAATGAATGAATGACCAAAGTGGCTACTCCAACTGGGATGAGGGCGCTATGGATTTTAACGACGGGTGAGGAAACGACACACAAACTTTATGAATGAATGAATAAATGAAGGAAGGAAGGAAGGAATGTATGGTAAAATCTAGAACCCGTCTGGTTGTAATTTGTCAGTAATTGAGTAATTGAATTGCATTTTACATACAATATCTGAATTTCTGAATGCCATATCTTCAAACACACACACACACACACACACGCACGCGCGCACACACACACACACACACACACACACACACACACACAACACACACACACACACACACACATGTACACACACACACACACAGTCACACAAACACAGACACACACACACACGTGTACACACACATACACACACACACACACACGCAGACACACAAGCACACACACACAGTCACACGCACACACAGTCACACACACACACAAACACACACACAGACACACACACACATAAACAGTCACAAACACACACACACACACACACAAACACACACAAACACACACACACACACACACACACACACACACACACACACACACACACACACACACACACACACACACACACACACACACACATATACATCCTCACACACGCAAATCTCCCCCTCTACTCATTTCTCTCTCTCCCTCTCCCCTACCCATACACAACAATTGCACTCACACAAATTCATTCTGTACTTCAGTTTTTGCCACTGTGAGCAAAAGTGTCTGAACTTCATTCTGACAACGAGTATTTTCGCTTGGTGTGTTTGCAGGACCCGGAACTGTGTCCACATGAAAAAGGCTTTCGGTTGGCAGTGGGTCATCCAGGAGTGCGTGCTCGGAAATGAGAGGAATGCTTTCTTCTGCGCAAAGCCCGGAGAGGAACCGGAGGAACCCGAATGTACCCCTGGCTCTTAAACATCTCAGAATTTGTCAACAGCCTTGTAGGTTATGAAACAAGTTTGAACTGCAATTTCCAACACAAGAAAGTAAACTTACCGAAAGTTTTGACTGTACAAGTTCAGTGTTTGTCAAGGAATGGGCAATCCACCGCTTCCGTGACGTCACGCAGATAACACAAGTGACTCCGTGAGCAGTGGATCGTAGGTTGTACAAAGGTCAGTTGGGTGAGTCCAACTTCTTGTGTTGGAAATTGCAGTTCAAACTTGTTTCATAATGACTTCTACCAACGCAATCTAAGTAAATCGGGACTTAATTTTCCTTAAACATGGCTGAAGGAGTTAGACAGAAATTTGGTTAAGTCCCAGTTTACTGACGCGTTAGAAAACAACTTGACAAGTCTGATGACAAAACCATTGCTGACAACTATTCCGTTTCAAAGTATCGGTGTAAAACATAGCCTTGTGAGCAGAATGCTAAAATGAGTTAAGTTTTTAGATGGGGAGTCCAATGTTTTGCCTCCTGTGCAGGCCTTCTACACTCGCTGGGTGGGTTTATTTGGTGGTTATAGCAACTGATAAGGTATTTAATAGCATATACACCTCGGGTAGGTCCTTTTACTGATGACTCTTCATCCCTTGCAAGAAATAAGGTCGAGACTTTTCCTTTCCATCTGGGTCTGTCCTCGGCCACCTTCTTTACTGGTCGCCAGGACAGTCCCATAGACGCCAGGTCATCTGACACAGTTCTTCTCCAGGTGGTTTTGGGTCTGTCTTTATTCCTTATCACATCAGCTCTGTTTTAGGTACCCTTACGTCACCCAATCTTTTTCAAAAACTCATGGCCAAGCCATTCAGTCTTCTGGGTGGGTCAACTATATGCTTAAATATACCCTTATATAATTATATACCTTTAAAAATATTACTCTTAAATATGTGCTTAACCTCTAATACTAACTATTTTAACAGTAATATGGGATGAGAGATAAGTTTTTAGATTCACTAAGTCAAACACAGTACTGGCAGCCTATTTACCACATCTACTTGATTTTTATGGGCACAATAGCAAACGTTCAATCAAAGTATAATAATTGCTCACGACCTTTTTTCCTAAAATTTGCTGTTGTCCTTTTTTTCTACAAATTACAAACCCCCTCATTTATTTTTTCAAGTTCAACCTGCTTTTCAACATGAACTCCGTGAAATTACTTTAGTATAAGTATTAAGGTGGGCACAAGTTTTTGTGGTTGTGTTATTAATTTAAAAAACTTTCTGTTTTTAAGGTGTGTTGGTGTATTATAGTCAAATCAAGTCAAAGTTTATTGCACCATAGTTACATCGGGTAGAGTGTATTGGAAACAACAATTTGTCAGGGTTTGGTGGACATGATATCAATACCATAGAAAAACATTCTGTTTTTAAGGTGTGATGGTGGATTATAGTAAAATCATGTCTATTCATGCTAGTGTACTAATTAAGTAATTAACGTCATTATTCAATACATTATATAATGGAATAATATATAATGGAATAATCGTACGTTTCACAAAATAGTAAGCAACAGAACATTAATTCACCTAACATGGTATGTGTTATGTTAAAACATTTAGATGTTAAATGGCAGATGTGGGTTCAAAGCTGTCACCTATTCAATATCTTGGTTCTCTGATTTGTTTCATTTCGCTTTCGTCCAAGATTGGCAACAAACAACGCAAATTACAATCATTTAACTGTCCAGTATTCATGCCATCAGTTACCGTGTTGGAAATTTTGGAAAACATCCTATCTAAACCACCCAGCAAAGCATTTTATGATTAACAGATTAACAAAATGTACATTTTGTCAAAAATGTAATTAATTGAAGTTCAGGAGAGAAGACTTGGTTTCTCAAAATTGTTAAAATGTCAATGTGGAATCGAATACTATTGTTTGCATTTGACCCTTAAGTGTTTTATGTTCCCCACTAAATAAAAAACAAGAAATTCAGTTAATGTTACCTAATTATAAAGAACCAACCCAGAACGAAGGCATAACTATAAAAAAAAAAAACTTCAACATTGTTTAGGTCTGCATCTGCTGTTTGATATGTCATAATAGCGACAGCCTTACCGTATAACAATTATATATAATTATGATATATAGGAACGTATACGAACGTATTAAACCTTAATCTATTTACCTTAATTAATAACAATATCACATACTGGTTCCGATGGAATTTTTCTCCCAATTCAAAATTAAAAAAAAAATGTTTCAAATTGTCCCGAAAATATCTGTACTTTTTCAACTTTTAAAAATTGTCATTCTGTAAAGTTGGCCCTGCGGAGGAAAAAGAGTATAAATTTATTGTAAATTTTGGCAAAAAAATGAATAATATGTGTTCACGTGTTAAGTCATCTCTTATCCTTTGTATCAATCCAGCATGTGATATTGTTCTCTTTTTTAAAGTAAATTCCTATAATTCTATCCTCTTGATTATGTCACTCCCCAAACAAAGAAACAAACAAACAAACAACACAATTAGATCTCAGAGCAATTGTACACTTCTAGGTCTGTCAGCAGAAAAACACAAATGCATTTAGGTATCAGTATTCTGGATAAAGCTATCACCAGTACAAGATACAGGAAACGGTATTAACAAACATTACAACTGATGCAATTTGTATACACGGATTGGGCAAAGATGTCTTAATTAAGAATTAAAAAAAAGAAGAAGAAGAAATGATGCAACGAAAAGAGGAATATGATCGAGAAGGAAACACCAAAACCTTGCAGTGGACTTAGAGAAAAGCTTGCTCTAACAGACATCTTTGATTCTTTAAGTGTGACATATCATCTTATTTTTCTTATAGCAAAGTAGTTACCTCTATTGTCATTTCATTTCTTTGTTTCAGCCTTTGACAATAGATGTTATAAAAAAACTTCATTGTCTTCATTGTAAACATAGTTAACTTGTAAAATAGTCAGGCACAGTTTTGAGTTTACAGGCAAGCTAGCACACCACCAGATGAAAGGAAAATACACAATATGAAATTATGGATATCATTTTAAAACAAACTTATAACGTTTTGCGTACCATGGGCAACCTATATTCCACCTAATGGTACCGGTGTTGACATCCGTTCTTCAGAGTAGGGTTAGGGCACTAGTACAAGGGTAGGCAAAGATGACTTAATAGTTCCCTTATTGGTAAAGTTTTGTCTTATGAACAACTCACACTTAGTACGTTTACTTAGTCTAGTAACCATTCTCTACTAGCCGGCTTCGGGCCCAGTTCAGCACAGGCCTTTTCTCTGGCAATCGATCTTTTCAGTCAGCTTCCTGATCTGTTTAGTGACCGTAAAAAACGCCGGCGTGCTCTAATGGCCCTGGGCGGGCGGGCAGTACTCTAAGTACCGTAGAGATACAGGCGAGCCCACGATGGTCTAGCTACCAGGCTACACTGTACTTTGTATTCTGAGCGATGGACTATACACCCCTCTGATGCAGACTGGTTTAAAGTGGCACTGAGACTGTTGTGTATAGAAACAATCAGAGGGCACATTAAAATTTCCATCATTTTCCTCCCCAATATTTTCTGTGCCTTCGTCCCAAACTAAGGTTCACACATGCAGCAAATACAGGAATGTCACAGGGCACTTATTATGCTACCCTAACGTATTTTGGTATGCGTTATCTGCGGATTCTTTTTATGTTCTGACTAAACAAATAATGATTAGGAACAGACAACTTCTTACACCTAGCCTCAGCCCATCTAAACCTATACATTGTTTACAGCTAAGTAGAGATTATGCCCAGGCTACAGTAGTCTATGACAGCGATTATAGTTCTAGGAAACAATGGGATTTTAAGCAACTCAATCCTTGGTTGATGACTCTGGAACTTGAAGGCATGCTTTCTAATGGCTTCAGGATGAAAGATTAGGCGAATCGTGTACTAATACTGCAAAAGAAACAAATGCAGAGAAATCTTTGGTTGATGAGTTCGAGACCACACCTACTTTCCGACTTGAAATTTTGTGCCTTCGATGCGTGCTTTTCCTGCGCTGCGCGTCTGAACTTTGCGTTCTTTCCGTAGATTCCTTGATTCCTCTTTTTAGCGTTGCCCAATATGACATCCAGGAGGACACATATTTACATGTGTACATGTTCTTTAAAAACCTTTTCTTCTCTTACAGCACACCAAACGATCAAAACACTGGTATTATCAAGGACACACTGTCCTTGGTATCATGAATGCGTGACAGAAAGTATTGCGTTCCTCCACCCTACAATACAAAGCAGGGCGTGGAGAGTGATTCTAGTCTTTTATCACACAACCATTAGTATGATTGCAGGTATTTCAAATTTTTTACCTCAGTGAGTTTCAATGAATGACGTATAAAATGTCCTTGTTTTCAAGGATATTCTCTAGGGTAGCCATAGTCGCTATACTCTGACCTCTTAAGTGTCCTAACAAACTTTATACACAACAGAGCAATTTTTATATTCTGTTCTTTTATTGCACTACCATTGGTATTATTACAGTTATTTCAAATCATTTATCTTTGTGAACATCAATAAATGTATAGAATGTTCTTGGTATCAAGGATATTCTACACAATGGTGTTATGACTAAGGCATAGGCGCCTTGTACACAAGTGTGTGGATCGCATATCTCTTTTTTTTATTACACTACCAGGTACCAGTAGTATGATTACAGCTATTTTAAATTGTATACCTCAGTGAGTATCAAAGAATGACGTATAAAATGTCCTTGGTATCCAGGCTACTCTAACATTAAGGTTATGAATGTGCCACACGAAATATGCTTTGTACACAAGCACGCGGAAGGTGATTGAGTTCTTTCATTGGTATAATTACAGCTATTTCAAATTATTTACTTCAGTGAGCATCAATGAATGTATATAATGTCCTTGGTATCAAGGATATCCTACCTAATGGTGTGATACACCGCTATACCAAGAAGAATACAATTTCATCACCGCCGAGAACACCATAAAGGCTGATCATTTACAGCAGAAAGATGCCGGAATTGGTGAGAGAACAAATTCGTCTGTTTCGAATGACTGAATTATTGCTAACATGTAGAAAAACTTTTTAAGTTATGATATGTATGTCACGTTTTGCATGTCACGCATTTTATGGTGATCGTGGAAAGAGAAAATTCGTCAAAGTTATGGTCGGCGCTGTCGTATGGAAAACGGTTTAAGACGCCTTGTTGGCTTTGCATGTATTTATGTGTAGCAAACAAACTTTAACAATGTAGCAGTCTGTTGCAAATCTTTTATGCAAGAATTGCGTCATTTGTTAGTGAGGAGCGTTTTTCAACAAAATTCGAAAATGGTTTCAACAGGTTGGTAGGATATAGGACATTTAGATTTTCTTTTTTATAACGTAAGCAATGTCAGAGACTTGAAAGGAAGAAAATCTCAATATCCTAAGATATGAAGCCGTTGAAAAGTATATTATTATAAAGTGTAAATTTTTTTATGGTGATAATTCTTTTTAGATTGGGAAGGGACGTCACGAGTTGGAGACAATAAGACCCTTTCCCTTACAACAAATGACAGTTCACCTCAAAAGAATGAATGAATGAACTTTATTGCTCGACAATCGTACATGGTACAATGTGTGGCAGTAATACAACAATACTACAAAACTAAACTATCTTATTACATTTCTTACTACAAACTACTATCTATACAGTATATGAGTCACAATATGTTCATGAATTGATGATTTGGTCTCGCTTATGAAATAAGGTGTACAGAAATTGACCTACGTAAGCAGATATGGTAGTAGGAAATGACAATAATTCATAGAATGTATCGTACTGTGTATTAGATTGGGTGAATTTTGTCTTAGTGGTAATAGTCTGTAACAATGAATCTCTTTCTTTTCTATAGGTGGGACATGTCATAACAAAGTGAAATTCATCTTCAATATTCTCATTACATGTGGGACACAGTCTATGAGTGGCTGGTGTGTTGTGGTGTCGACCTTTTTCGATTTGAAGACAATGTGCGCTGATTCTCAATTTTGTTATGCTAGTTGTGAACGATTTATTATAAATTGATGTGAGATAATCTTCCATGCCAAAATGCTTTTTGATTTTAGAATATGTATGAAGTTTACTAGTGTTTCTAAGTTGTTCTCTCCAGCCAGAAAGAAACGTGTCTTTCAGACGCTCTTTAAATATGATTCCAAAACGGTTGGCATTAACTGCGGGGTTAAGCCACACATTTTGGAACCCATGTTTACATAAAATGTCCTGAACGTGAGTAGCCCAGTCATGGTCTTCTTCCACTGAAATGTCGTATGCTTTTTTAGCAAGCCTATCATTTGGTAAATTATTTAACCTTAACCAATATTTAATCAACTGTGTTTGACTGTCAACGAACAAGGGAAATACTCCTAATTCACCCCTTACGGCGGCGTTTACAGATCCTTTCGGAACATGGAGGAGAATTTTGCAAAAATTTAAAAGTACATATTCTAAGTCAGGTAAAAGAGACCGCCCCCCGTCGACGCACGATGTTTTCGTGAAGCAACAATGCTTTCAGCTCTTTTGTCAAGATACCATTTGTCAAGATACCATTTGTTTGATTGCTGTCATAAATAACGAATTATTCACACGGATGATCATGAATGGGTGTAGGTAAACATGCGTATCCATGATACCACAATTCCTAAGAGGTCATTTTGTGCTGTTTGTATGTGGAAACATTGAGCCCTACCCTCGAACATTTCAGTGTTCGTCAATTTACTGTTCCCGATCTCCATACAGAAATCTGCCTACTTGGGTCATAACTTCAATAGAAAGCAGTGTGTTGCCGTGTTGGTTTTTTTTTCATGTACTTGCTGTGGAATCGCAACCTCAACAATTATTGATTTATAATACTCAAACAAAATTTAGGAAATAGATATGGACCCCAGCTGTCTTGGTGGATCAGTCTGGAAACGCGTACGTATATGAGGGCAAAATTGTCTGACGTTCAACATGACATAACATCTAGCTATAGTTAACTACAGTGAACAATCTTTGTATCATCAGCTATATTTGAAAAAAAATATGTTTAGCTACGTTATCGATTCAAATTTGAATGTCTCTGTTTGTTTCTAGAAATACGTAGGTTGAGATCAAGGTGCTTGCTCGTCAGCTGATGCATATTGTCTTGACGGGATGATCAAGTTGCTTATCAAAACATCAGGTAAGATTTCTCGTTGTTGTATAAGTTGCACGTCCTTAAATGTTATTGCCTGTCCTTTCTCTCCGTAGTGTGATGCTTTTATATAAAATGTACAGTTAGTACGTTTTACCAAATTGTATATGGCTTTTCGTTTTAATTCGTTTCACTTCATTTCGGCTTTGTAACATTAGTACTATAGTGAAGCTACATATGAAATCCAAACAATACCACAAAAGTATACGTATATTATATATGTATATTATGAAACATCCTACATAGAGCCTTTTGGCCCTAGGCCCTGCGAAAAACGAAGATTTAATCAATGTTGAGGTCACATCTCCAAACCGGTGCCCGGCCGGGCTGTTTTGATTAAGGAGAAATCAGCAATTTTTATCAATAATACACGCAGATTCTTTCCATCATTATTTTTTTTCCTTTTTTTAAATATTCCAACATATCATCACAAGACGTGGTCACGGCACATTTAAGTTTTCTCAAGTTATTTTAATTCCGCCACAAACGTAGGGGACAACACAATACGCATTTTTTTACCTGAGTGAAGTGAGAAAAGTCGTGTAAAGTGCCTTTCCCAAGGGCACAAGATCGGTGGCATGTCAGGACTCGAACCCTGGACCTGCTGGTTCCGAGTCGAGCAGTCTGCCGCTACGCCACACGTCTTTTATATAATTCTCTTCGTTTCCATAAGACTGCCCGGTCGGGCCCCGGTTTGAAAATATGACCTCAACATAACTTGTATTCTAACGCACTGATGCCTGTTTTGTTCCACCAGTGCTGCTGGCTGCAGTCTTGTTGGTGAGAGCCGAAGACTCGCCGTGTCGCAGTGCCGCTGACAGTGTCCTGACGTGCGGGGAGGGGGCAGGGTATAACAAGACCTGCACGCTGTGCGCCCGGACTGAGAACGGCACCCGGGCCATGTGTTGGGGTACGGCCTGCTTTTCTACGTTTTTATGTGGATATATTTTTTTCAAATTTATTATTCTTCTTTCGTACTGCTTGGCCCAGTAACAATAGGATTATTAGCAGCCGCACACGGTTACAAATATTTCCAAATATATATCATCGATTAATAATTGTACATAATGACACATAGGAAACAAAATATTTATTTTGTAACGTGAAAGGCGTTAATGATGATGATCATTTAGCCATAATTCGTATGTTATATATGCATTCCATAGATGACCCAGTCCATTGGCTTGACATCCCTGAAGAATGGGTGGAGGATTACGGGTGGCAACCGTCCAGAAACCACCCCATCAATGCCCTCGACTGTTCGCCAGGCACGTACTGGGCCCCTGGACTGTTCGGCATCTTCCAACTGTGGGGAACTCACTGGATCGTCGTCGATCTGCAGACTCGCCACAACATCTACCAGATTAGCATCACGAATGGATACTACTACTTCCTCGGGGTCGGTCGTTTCACCCTCCTGATGTCTGAGGTTGGTTTTACTTTCTTCCAACATCTCATGACTAGACATGTTAACGGAACACTCAAGTTATTTCAACTAATTTATGTCGCCACTAATACAGAGGACAAATGCAGGACAATACTCCTTACCTTCGCCAAGAAGTTTATGTTTTCAGGGGCGTTGGTGTGTGTGTGTGTGTGTGTATTTGTGAACACGATAGGTAGGTGGGTAGGTCTTGATTAGACCTCGAAATTTTGCCCCCCCCCCTGGCAACTTGCTATGGTACTACAGCAGAATCCCCCCGGCAACTTACTATGGTACTGCAGCAGAACTTCCGGTTTAATTTATTTTGATATCTTGTGACCTATACATACTAGGGTCACGAAATTTACATGGTAGATAACTCTTGAATGAAATGATATGAGTTTGAGCTTCTTGCTCTAAACCTGCAGGGGCGTTTGTTAGAAAATGTTTAAAGAAGGATAACTAAAAAACCGATTGATGGATCGTCATCATTTTTGGTATGTAGGTAGCTTAGGTGATGCTTGACATGATAATATTACAACTATGCAAATATTGATGTAATTTGCAAATACGCAGATATGGATGTAATTTGCATGATTAATGAGGAAATTCTATAACTCAGCTTCATTCCATGATAGGACTATCATATATAGGACTATATATTATAAACAATTTATGTATAACAGGTTGGATCGCCGTACGACTGGGTGCAAGTTACGGGGTCGAATTCGGTCATAGACTACTCGCAGAGTCCGCAAATCTTCGGAGGATTCAGAGGAACCGGGCGGTACTTGAAAGTCACGCTGGCAACACACTCTGGGTGGCATCCTTTCGTGGACAACGTGTGTTTCTATGGCCACAAAGGTAAGTAGTAACCTCATTCGCAGACTTGTGGGGCGGTGGCGTTAATTTTTTTTCGGGGAGCGACGCGAGTTATGCCATGAAAGGACGGTTTTGCCGCCGAGGGAGTTACAACAAAACCTCTCTCCCCGGCAAACTACTTCGGTGGCAGAAATCGCGTCGCTCCCCGTCGCCGCCGCTGCCCCACAACTGTGCGAAAGAGGCAGGGCAAGTAGCAATATTTTCATGCTAATTCGAGTATGTCCATTAAGGTTTTAAGTTGGTCCTACGTAGGTCTTTAGTAGGTCCTAGTCTCTACCAGACTCCTTTGCAGGCTGAATAAATAGTAGAAATCGGCAAAGGGGGAAATCATTGGCCAGAGAAGTTGGCCGGATAGAGGGTCCAGCTTGCCTGCACAGGCAGGCAAACTGGACCCTCTATGGCCGGCCAACTCCTCTGGCCTACTTAGAGACTAAGTAGGTCCTAAGTCCGAAGATCTAAAGTCCTAGAAACATCTCTACTTTCATTTCGATCGCAGATCTGGCAATAGTTGATTGTACAAGGAGCCAACTACCCGTCGACTGTGATTTCAGCGGCACTGAAGAAGTCGTATCCAATAACACGGCAGCAGGACAACCGTGCTACGTGTCCGTGGACATTCACGAGGGCGTGCGCAGGTAACGGTATCTATGGTTACATACTGTCAATATAAAAACATTCTATTCTATTCTGTTCTATTCTATTCTATTCTATTCTATTCTATTCTATTCTATTCTATTACTCTGGCCTCCTAACAATGATTTTGCCTATCTCTATGCTTTTTTTTAAATTAAAAAAAAACTTTACCCAGTATATATAGTTTTAAAGAGACTAGATAAATGAGATGTATTTATCTTTGCAGCATCGACAACCCTATTCCTGTACTTCGCAGTGGCAACGTGACCCTTCATTCTTTGGTGTCGTATGAATGTGAAAATGCATTTGAGGTCGGTGTAGTTGTTTTTATCAACAATCATGATGATAATGCTTCCCCTCATATTAGAAGCATATTGTTTCAAAGATACAGCGTTAACTGTACGCTTTAGGGCATATGCAGTCTTTAAGGTAACATAATAATGCTTGACATGTAATGTAACAATATGTGGGGTCGTGTGGCGTAGCGGAAGAGTGCGCGACTCGGAAGTAAGAGTCCCGGGTTCGAGCCCTGATTGCCACCGATCTTGTGCCCTTGGGAAAGGCACTTTACACGACTTTCCTCACTTAGCTCAGGTGTAAATGAGTATTGTCCTGTAATGTATTTGTCCCCTGTGTTGGTGGCGGCATTAATATAAGTTGAAGAAACTTGAGTGTGTCGTCACCACGTCTGGTGATTACATGTTGGAATAAAAAAAAAAAAAACAGTACGTCATCAAAACGGCGGCAGCTGATCAGCGTTCACGATTTCTTCTTCCATCTAACATCCTTACAGGCGTTCCTTTGGGGGGGGGGGCTTATTTGCAACTTGCATATATTCTGATCAAACGTAGATCGCACGCATTAGAAGCTCTGACCCCCAACTCTAGAATGCCGTCCCCAGAACGGCCGACTGAAGTGTCTCTTAATTCACTATCTTACCAACCCGATGACACTATTCACGGATGATATGTCTTATTTGCAAAATCATGCCCGAAGGCTAATTGCTTTTACAGAGTCAAAGATACTATACGGTGCAATGCAGTAATAGGGAACAGAAAACTACTTACTGGAAAACACTTTACTACTATGCTTGCTATTATGAGGTTTTGCTCATTCTTTGAAGGCAGTGAAAAATGAATGAATGAAAGACCTTTATTGTACATTTTTGCTTGTTGCGAACTAAGTACAGGTCATGGTGAATAGCGATGGTAGACTAAAATATATCTATAGTAAAACTACATATTTACAGGTTCTGCTTCTTCTCGCTTCTTAAGACAATTGTAAATGTAAGATGAACAGATGGAGTTTATAGTATGAGGATTATCTAGTTTAATGAGGAAAGTGAATTTTTCTTTTTTATTAAAAAATCTAAAACTAGGGTGATAATCTTGTATACAATTGAAGAGAATCTTTCTCTCATCATTATATAGAGTGCAGTTCACAATAAAATGACTCTCGTTAATAAATAGTCCCACGTTCAATGATGCAGGTGACGCTGGACTGGTCTGTCATCGCGCCTGGTAGAGTCGCGTCCACCCACGAGGCAAACAATGACGTGCTGATGGACAGAGGCCTCCAACCTGACCGAGCCAACCTCTACTTTCCACCGGGAAGCATGCCGCTGGGGGTCTTCTTGGTACAGGTAGGAGAACAGTAGCTCCCATGTCAATTGACTAGGCAGGTGCTGTTTACCATGTTGGTGCCATTGGCTGCATTTCAATGGTCAAGAACAAACTGAAACTGATTCGTGTAAAGATCTTTACATGTTGAAAATCGCTTCAGGTATGATTCTACTGAAATACAAATTGGGACACCATCACCTCTCTCTCTCTCTTCTCTCTCTCTCTCTCTNTATATATATATATATATTATATATATATATATATATATATATATATATATATATATTTCCACTGTTAGTCATAAGGACTTGCCTTGAATGAATTCCCCAGCTTCAGGTGACCATGGAAGTACCAGAGACCTACCACGTCAGCGTGGGAGTTGTCCAGACCTACGTAGAGTTTCTGCCGCTCCCCTTGGTGGTCTCTTTCGGTAATGCAGAGAGGACTGTCGAGCGAGGCGATTTTTGGGTGGACGCCAAGGCTGAGTCATCGGACCCTGAAGGTCTGTTGAGCAACAGCGACTTTAGTTTCCACGACTGGAGGTGCGACGTCGAGTACCTTCCAGACATGACACGTGAGTTCCTCTACCTGTATGGATTGCTTTACCAGAAGTGCTTTGAATATATGACAATGCTCCATTGCCAATGCCAAAGGATTAATTTTGACATCAACAAGTGGAAATTTATTGAACAACAAAATCTGGCGGGGGGGGGGGGTGCACCAGGAAATAGTGAAAGACATGGGAGAATTCAGGAGGTCTAGGAATTCATACATGTTTGATTTGATTTGATTTATTGACATTGTAACAATACAATGCACGTAGGAGACAGGCAGCTGTGGCTGGTCTTGTGACCCACACATAGAAACAAATACAGAACAGGACAATACTAATTTTCACTTGAGTGATAAAGTGAGGAAAGTCGTGTAAAGTGCCTTTCCCAAAGGGTACAAGATCGGTGGCATTTCGGGATTTGAACCCGGGACCTCTTGGTTCTGCATCACACAACCTCTCGACATTTACTTCTAGTAAGTCTGAAATCCAATTCTCTGTTATCTCACAGCTTACATCTGCTTTGACATCGTGTTGAACACCACCCTAAACTACAACGGCTCTCGGTACAAAGTGTACACAGGCGCCCAAACAGCTACAGACGCGGCGTACGAATGTGCAAAGGAAGCCGGGTACCTGGCTACTCCGAACGACGAAGAAGAGTGGGCGGCGATTTTACACCTCAACGACTGTGTTGAGGGTAGGGTTGTCTTTTTCTTTGATACCTCCACAATATTACTATTCAGTCTGATGTAAGTTGTTCCTTGTGTTCCTAGGATTAGATAGAGATTAGAGATTATTTACTGACCCAACAAAAAGTACAGGGACTTTTGTATGACTACAACTAAAGATCTAACAAAGTTAAATACATGTATGGATGACTTCATCCTACGTACAGAATATATGTATGTGGCAAATTACGTGCAGAATATATATCAGTGGTAACAAACTTTAAGGTTTAACTATTCTCTAACATGTAGTCTCTAAGATTGAACACTGTATTGGCTGTCTCCCCTGAGAATGTAATTGAATTATTCTATAGGATCTAACGTATTGATGTGCTTGCTGAGGCTTGATGGCCCGCCATTTGCCTCTATCCTGTGGGTTGATGTAGGTTAAGGTTAAAGTGAATGTTTTGTTTGCTCACAAAGGTAGCAGAACTCGGACCATCGGAATCATGGACGTTGACGGCGATGGAAACTGGACGCTTTCGGACGGCAGCAACCTCACGTGGTCTGGTTGGGCACCTGGGTACCCATCGTCCCCCGCGGCTGACGCATGCGCACAAGTAACGCCTGGTGGTTGGGTCGACGTCTTCAGTTGCAGTCGAGCAAATGAGTTCATCTGCGAACTGCCCATACGTAAGGCACTGATCTTACTACTATCATAATAGTTTTATTGCAAATTCATGCCCGAGGGCGAATTGCAGGAACAGAAGAAATATTTGGTATAAAAAAACTGTCAATTAGTACATATAGAACTGCTGATAACTACTGAGAAACTACTAGTAAAAACTACTGGGTTTGACTTCGTTTTGAAGACAGAGGAAGACAACTTTCCTACTTTTTCTGTACTTTGTGGGTTTTCGGATGTTAAGAGGATAGTAGTTTTGTATATGTGTGAAAATTTGGGGGCTACGTCAAAGAGTTCATTTCGTTCATTGCTATAGAGGGGACAATTTGAGATGAAATGTGTTTCGTCTTCCACTGTATTCAACGTATACAATGTTTACAAATTATAATGTCATGGTCTTGCATGCATCTAATTTTGCCTGCATCCCCCTCATCACAGGCCATGACTGGAGTATACTTAGTATTATCATCATATAGGTCCAACACAAAAAGTTCTGCCACCTAGAGCTTTCGACCAGTCACTCTGGTCTTCCTCAGTAGACTGACCAAGTGAAGCTTGTCACGTAGCTTCTTTGAAGTGTGACGTCAACACTGGGTCAAAGGTATCTGGTAGACTGGAGTATGTATTTGTAGTCATTAATATGCAGACCTGAAGGAACTGTATATGGAAACACAAACATGTATTTTTATCCGTAGCACAATTGCTATATTGAATATAATGCATCCATGTGTCTTTGATAGGTGATGACTGTCATGTAAACGGGAACTATCATGGACCAATAAGCCACACAGTTTTGGGGAGGACCTGTCAGACGTATGTATTGTTTCAGTTATACTGATCTTACTTAACTTTTCTCAGTAATGTTATTTTTTTGATTGTATAACTTACTTTTATACAAATTGCTTTATGTTTATGTGTCCCTGGGCCCTCTTGGAAATCAGCAATTTACTGTTGAAGAGGCCAGACAGGTGTTTAGAAGATGAAATAAATAAATAAATAACCTCCATTCTAATCTTTTATCTTTTAAAATAACTGTAATTTTTTAATACTGACTGTAGTTAACTATAGTATATAAATGTTTACCTACAAGTTTTAAGAATGTTGAAATCCAATTTGTTTTAATTTTTATCTATGCTACTGCTACTACTATTACTACTATACTACTATACTACTATACTACTACTACTACTACTACTACTACTACTACTACTACTACTACTACAGATAGAAAACACATGACGTTGCGTCCAAATTTTCCACGCCCCTGTACGTCTTTATGAGACGTGTACAGTGGGCGTCGAAAATGTGTAGGTAACGTCTTTCTTACCTTTTCAAATCGTCTCTGATCGAGGAATATTCGTATAACTGTGATTTATACGTGGCTGATGAACCCCTTCAACGATGCCTAGTATTTTCTTCGGCAGTTGGTTTTCTGTATTCCCACATCTCCATCTGTTTCTCGGGGTCGCGCCTGGAAACCCATGCCGGGACCCGTCCGGAGATGGCCACCCGTGGTGCTTCACCATGGACCCCAGCGTGAGATCGGAACCTTGTCCGGTTCCTAGTTGTGGTAAGAATAAGTATACCTATTACTGGATTCATCGTCATCATCACACTATTAACTATATATATGTAACAAATATAACCGCCATTTTGAATTAAATGTGTTCTCGCGAGAACGTGCGTGATCTTACACCAAAACGAGGAAGGGATGGATTCCCCTCAAACCGTAATGATATTTTTGTTATGTACATGTATATAATTTTAAATCACTCTGACGACAATGAAGTAGGTATAGATGCTGGCATACTTATAATATTAATATGGACACCAACATGGCGTCAGACACAGCAATGTCGCCACGTTAAAACGCTCTATAGAGAAGAAACAGCCTCAAAAGAACACAATAGAGTATTAGGCTAATAATGCCCCTTTTTTTCTGTCGTATCAAGCACACTACGATGGGCGGTCGCCTTGCGATGTCTTTCTTGGTCCGGAATTGGGAGATACCGATCCAGACGGAGGAAGGTTACACTTTGCAGCACATGGCGACCGGAAGCGGAACGCTCAGTTCAAGATCAGCGTTGTGGTAACGGCAGAGGGGCGTCTTCCTGCCGAAACATCGGTCATCATTCACACGGCAGGCAGAGACGACACGCCGGCGTACAATATGCAGTATGTTCATTCCCATTCTTAAGCAGTTTTTTTAATTTACTTCATCGGTCACCACAAAATAAAGCTCATGGGAGCCACTTAAAATGTTTTGGGTTACAGAACAGCCAGAGTAGACAGATGTTTGTTGACCTTAGACTTGAAGAGTTTAAGGTTATACTCATAGGGGAAGCAATCATGAGGTAGCTTATTCCAAAGTGATGTTGTTCTTGGAAAGACTCTTTCAGCATGGAACTTCCTCCTAAGAGGTGGTGAATGGAGGAAGAAAGGGTGATTTGCTTCGGTGGAAGTGGCAAGACGTGTCTTTGTTGAGAATTTTCGAAGTTTGCTAAACAACAGCGTGTGGAAGAATCCCTTAATCATTTATGTATTAGATTTTACTTGCTGTCGGGCTAAGATGCATGTGACTGTGACTAGAATACTGTTACTGATTTTACTGCCCTTACTTTTTATTACCATAGATCTTGACTAATTGGATATGATAATCATGGTTTCAGACAATAATACTGAGCAAGTGTTTTATCTTCCTATGTATATGTACGAACACACAATTCAGCCCTGTGGGCTGCCAGTTGTTCAATTGAAATAAACCAATTATATATGTTGTCTTCATCTTCTATTACAAACGGAACATTTATACCATTGGTGTACGCACAAAGTTTTTACCTTTAAACTGTCTACCCTGGGAGACAGAATAGTACCAGGCCGTTAGCCGGTTCCCTTTGGTGGCCAAAAGCACTTCGCCCGCCTATATAAAATACCGCTACGGGGAGTTGAGCCCGAGGGGTGTTGGACGGCCCTTTTGACTTAACTTCTCCTTAGCGTTAATTTAGACAGGCGGGCGTAAGTGTACACACACACACACACACACACACACACACACACACACACACATATATATATATATATATATATATATATATATATATATATATATATATATATATATATATATTTCATATCATTTTCACCTAAACGAAGTGAGGAAAGTCGTGTAAAGTGCCTTTCCCAAGGGCACAAGATCGGTGCATGTCAGGACTCGAATCCGGGGCCTCTGGTTCCGAGTCGAGAACGCTTCCGCTACGCCACACGACCCCACATGATAGATCACGGTCGTGATAAAACATTTTTACATTTATACATGCATTCATTTATTTTCTTATTCATCCATCCATTCATATCGCCACAGGTGCCATACAAACTGCCTTCCGGACCACTTCAACCCAGACGAAGAACTGAAGCTCTTCACGCGATCGCATTACAATCGCATTATCTTTTGGCTGGCTTTCATTCCGATATTCGCCAATACACCGACGGAATGGGTCCTGCACGAGTCTCCGCCCGGTTTCTCTGGGTTTGACAGCAGTCAGCACGTGTCATATGAGTCTAAGACGTGGCTGGTCGTGCGCCCTGGGGTCTTCACGGTACCTGGCTTGATCCCAATATCTCTCTCTCTCTCTCTCTCTCTCTCTCTCTCTCCCTCTATATATATATGGTCATATTTTTAAGTATTTTTTCATGTCTTGACTTGTTTGTAGTTCAAGACCACCGTTCTTTAAAATTTATTCTTTATTCGCCAATATTTGTATCTATCTTATATACTCTATCTATCCA